ACAGCTAAAACTATAAACACTTTACAGGATTGAAATTGATTTACAGATTGAAAAACAATTCGAAAAAATTTGGAGGATTATCAGGTAGGACTAGCATGGAAACAGCACTCCTGAGCAAAGAGTTGATCCTGGAGCTGTGAACCTGAAGATGGGGAGAGTATCCCCTGAAGAGACTAAATTACTCTCAGATCTGTATGAACTGTTCTTCAGCAGCTGTCCTCCTTTAAACAAAAGGTGTCCAGGGTGTCCCCTTCTACGTGTCTGGCTTGCTGGACACCAGGATAAGCACCCTGCTTGTTGCAAGAGGCACCATACTGGGCTAGGGAGCCACTGAGCTGACCTGATACAGCTGATCATATAACAAGAAACCTGAAGATGTGTGTCCTGTTCTAATCTCATTTCAAAGAACCTGTTCTCAGTCACCACTGGTGACCAGATTGGGTGAAATGGATCTGTGTATTTTTTTTTCATGTATGAAATAGTTATTCTTGTGTTTTATATTCATTAGGTGGCAAAACCTTGGTCCTCAGAATGTGGGTGAATTCCTGTGCCTGTTCCTGACTTGCAGGCATAATAAAATGCAATCAATTGGCCTGTTTGCTCTGAGTATTATTACAGAGAACCTGCATATGTAAGTGTGAAACTTCACATATATATATGTGTGTGTGTGTATATAAAAAATTATTAACTGTGCTGATGTTTTGCATTGTAACCATGCTGATATTTTTCTTTTGGTTAACACCATTTTAACTAGTAATTCATTCTTGCTTTCAAACATCCTCATTGTTGATAATAAAGGTGATGAGCACCATGTGTTTGATAGGTAAAATAAACAATTTCCAACCTGTTTCAACCAAATAGACTTCTAACTTCCCAGTGTTCAGTCTTATGAAAATATTATCTGGTTTGGAAAACTATGGTCAGTTATCAGGAAAACATATGATAACATTATACAGTCTCATTTTGTTCCTTAAATGGCACTGTCTATATTCATTCACTCCTTTTGTGTTTTAAAAAACTAATAAGATTTAGAAAAAAAAAGTTCCTGGACTCTCTAAAGATGCGATACCTCATAAACGTTTATTTAAAGAGCATGTTCTAAAGTAGCTCTATCTCTGTTGTTCTATACCTACTGGAATACGATGTGTGTACACGTGTGTACACATTTTCTTTTAAATTTGTAAGAGATGCCTCACAATGCAAGGAGAGGAGTAGATCCCATAAAAGACAGATTCAGTGGCATCACAATGTCAGCTAAGGACAGCCTTCATTCCTGTGCCTGTCATTCTTCTCTTTTAATAGAAGAGAAACCACCTACTCTGCAGCAGCAGAAAAAAAAAAAAAAAGCTTCAGTGAGAACTCAAGATAAAATAAAGTTCAGAAAGAGCCTAAATACCACGTCTGGATTACAAATCCCAGCAGAGCGTTACTTTTGAGACCACTACCTGTTTGTTAGTAGGATCTTTGCTTTCCTGTGTGCTGCACTAAAGCACAGGCTTTAGTGGTAAACTTTGATGTATTGACATAGTAGTTTTAAAATCAAATGACTCCACAGTCATATACGGGAAGGCAGAAGCATTGCTGGCTCCAGCACTTTGAATTCACGTGTGTAGCAGCTGGCAGCAGAATAATGTTGGGAATTCACTTCCTGTAACTGTCTTAACTGAAAATCAAGGTAGTGTAAGTTAACAGACTTTGTAGAATGATTTTGTTTGTTTGTTTCCTCCCTTCTCCCTGAACTATGTGTAGCTGAGAAAGTAGAATAGCTGATTTCAGTTATATGAGCTTGGTTACACTGAAGAAATGTACAGACCTAATAATTGTCTCTTTTTAGCTCAAATAGTAAAAGACTAGTAGCATCTTTCTGTGAGGTTTTGCAGTATAATCTGTCAGAGGTCCAAGATCTGATTAAATCCTGTTTATTGTGGTCTAACTATGTCTTTTTTACTTTAAATTTGGTGCTGAAATCATCTCCTGTAGGACATTGGAGTAAATCATTGGATTAGCCTTCAAGTGAAGTATTGGGTATGGAAAACTTGGAGTAGCTGAAACTGGACATTTCTATCCCTATGAAAAGATGGATTAAGAATCTAAATTTATTTTTTAGGTGTCCATGGGCAAAGCACCTTTGCAGCTTCTTTCACAATGCAGTAAGTATTTCAGAATTAACAACAAAGCATGAGGGACAGACTTTAGCATTTGAAAGGCAAATATGTTCTGTCATTTGCTTCCAATGACTTAAGACAATTTGTCTAACAGGTGTATGTGGACAAGCTAGAATGAGAAACTTCATGAATTTAAGTAGTCTAAGGTGTATAGGTTAGTGACAAAGAAAATTGTACAGCCTGGACACCCCTTGTGTCCCTTGGAGCTCATGGGCTGCCTCTCTAGACACCCCAGCAGGCTGAGATAAAACTCACCATGTGCTGAATTGCTGAGCACATCTCTTAATTAGTTGGATTTTTAAAGAAGGTAACTTTAGTTCATCTAGTTTATTGCCTCTCTTGGGAGGAATCATTACAGGGAGAGCCTTTAGAAGATGAATTTTCTTGTAGTCAGAAACATTGAAAGTCAGGCAGAGCTTGAAGGGGAATAAGCTTGGCTTTTGTTATAACCACATCCCACAAGTAGGTTTGCTGAAAGAAATGTCTGAGCCTAAGTTTCTTTATATAAAAATGATGAGTTATTGAAGTGTATTAACGATTTTTTTTTTATTCCTCTGAACAGGGATTAAGACACCTGCCTCTTGGCACCACAACTCACCATGAAGTCTCCAAGTTCATGAACATTTTGGAAAACATGTAATCTAGCAAAATTCACAAGGACTTCTAATTTGTCTTAATCTAAACATCTTCCTGGACTCCCTTGTATTTTGCCTTGTTTGTCATCTCTTTCTGCCTTTAAATACATTGAGCTGAAGAACTGACTTCAAAACGAAGATCCTCAGTTCAGGTGAAGAGTGGCTGTACTGCAGCAAACACCTTCCTGAAATTCCTTCCAGGTCCAGGTATTAGGCAGTTGTTTAGGAGTTAGAGGCCACAAATGTAAGAGAACTCAGTCTCCAGCCAGGTGCTTTTTGGGAGGGCAAACAGGGACAAGCAGGAGGCACCACAACCCTCTGCTGCTGTCGTGTTGCCCAGATCCTGGGCAGGGTCCTGGGCAGGGCAGCTCCTGAGGAACTTCATGTTTCCTAAGTGATGGAGACAGAAACAGTAGGTGTTAAAATGCTGTTTGTGGCCCTTCCTTTATTGGATGCATAATTATAAAATACAGTCCCTTCTTCAAGTAGCATCTTTTTGTTGTTGGTTTTTTTTTTTTCTGGACTTCAGTAAATCAGATTCAGAAAGACTTAATGCAATAAATAACTTGCTTTGTATATAGAAAATCTGGTTTTCTGAGGTTTTCCAGCTGCGGGCTTTCTTTTGCTGCTATCCTACAGTCGGTGACTGTTAGGCTGCTGTTGATGCCCATTTGGGTTACTTAAACTGACCATCATAAGGATTCAACAGATGATTTTTAAGCTGTGGATTTAGAAATAGAGATTTGTTTGTAGCCTGATAATGCTCCTTAGTTACACACTGATACCTGTCTGTATTGGTCTAGTTGGGGGGGGAAAAATACTAACATGTGATGTACCCTATTTTGCACACTTCAGGCTTGCAGTGGCTTTTGCAAGTTCTTTATCCCAAATTGACTAAATTATTCAAGTTTTCTATAAAAATGTAGGTGGATCCAAAACAACGAGGGTCTAAATTAAAACTCTGTAGAAAATCTGTTGTCCCTGCCTTTCTGTGCGTGTCTTGTTGTCCAAGCTCACCCCAACAAGCAGTTTGTGGTGTGTGTGTGTGAGGAGGAACTGGCTTGCACTGATGTTGTTTAGCACCTGGTTATTTTTTGTACAGCTCTTCCTGTCTATCCTGCCCATTCCTGCCAGGATTTCTGCTGGTGCCATGAGCTGGGAACTGGTGTAACCCCAAAGGTAAATTGATCTCAGCTTTGTTCCAGGTCTAACCGAGATGAGCGAGGCTTGCTTAAAAATTAAAATGCTTAGTTTGGAGCTGAAAATACAGGTCTACGGCTGCCTCTCCCAAATATTGTATTTCAGCAAACACCACTCTGCTGTTCTAGCAAATGTGCAGACAGCTGATGCTGCCAACCAGCAAAGAAAACACTTGTGAGTAAATATTTAAGTGAAAATCAAATGTGAAGGGATGGAGTTGATAGATCTGCTTAAGCCAGGAGGTAAAGGGCCCTCCCTGCGCCTGGGTAGATGCTGGGGGCTCGGTGAGGACAGGGTCTGTTTTAAGCAGTTTTAACAAAACTGAGGATTTTGGGGAGTGCTGGTGCATGCAGCCTGTGCCTGCCCTCCCCGCCTGCCATGGGGGCTGCGCAGGAGCCCGAGCCCCTCGGGAGGCTCCCGGGCTCTTCCCGCCTCCTGTGTATTCCCGTCCCCGGCTGCCACCGCCTCTCTCAACCGAGGGGGCTCGGGAAGCGCCGCCTTCTCCCAAGGACACTAATTAACCTGCTAAATGAGTCTATCCCTTCGGCACGGCGTTACCTAACGCACCTTCCACCCCAGCCCTAATTAGCTGCGGTCCCGGCCCCGCTCCCTCCACGGGGGCTGCTGCTCGGACCCAACCTGGGGCAATTCCCCAGCACGGGGGCTCTGCTCTCCTGCCCCGGGAAGCTCCTCGGGGGTATCCGACCTGTCCTGACCCGCAGGGCTCTCCGGAGCCCCCCGTGCCCCCGGGATCGGCTCCGGTGCCTCCCCGGCCCGAGCGGAGCTCGCTGCCTCCTGCCAGATTAACAGATGGCCGCGCTCATTAATATTGCAAAACTTCAGGACTTCATAATTCTTTAATCTATAAAGCCCGTCAGGGCAGATAATGCGGGGCCGGCAATCTGCTGCGCGGGGCCGCGGCGGCGCCGGCCGGGAGACGGCGTTCGGCTCGGCCCCGGGGGCGCCACCGGAAAACCTTGGGAGCATCCTGCAAAACGGGGGACGCGGGAGCCCCGCGGCCAGCGCTGCCAGGGCTGAAATCCTGGGAATGCCGCTCGGCCGCGGCCTTTCCCTGCTCCAGCCTCCCCTAGGGCTGCGCGGGGAGATTAGGGCTGCTGGAGCAGCCCCCTAATCCGCGTCCGCCCCAGCCCTGAGCTCCCTCCTGCGCAGCAGCTGGATATGACTATGTGTCTACATAGTCATAGGTATAAATATGTATCTATACCTCTGTAGTGCTCTTTGCTAGTCCAGTAGCCTTATGGAGGGCTGTGCACGGAGCATGTGCTCCCAGGGGAGCAAAACAAGCTTTGGATAAATGGGAAAAAAATCAATTTTGGCTCCCTTGGTGGAGGCAGAACCTCCTGTGGAGGCTGCAGGGGGCTGCTCCCCCTGCTACAGAGAGATGTATATTTTATACGCACACACATATGGGCATAGGCAGAGCTATCCTTTGCAAACATATGCACAAACCCATGTTATAGAGCCTATATGGGAATGTGCATACACCTATATCTATAAGGTTAGTCCTACACAAATTGGGTGGGTTTAGGATGAAGCCTCCTGCCTGGAATACCATCCCAAAGGGCTTGGAAAATGCAAAATGTAAAGCAGAGGCGCAGGAGAAGAGCGAGGACTAACGTGGTGGGACTAATGCACCAGCTCCTGGCTGGGACTGTGGGACCTTCCCAGGGCCGTGGCCTGGCCGCCCTGGCCCCGTCCTTCAGGTGAGCGCGGAGGGTTTTCCATCGGAGCACAAAGGTGGGGATCGCCGCGTTGGTGTTAGATCCTTCTCCAGGGGGAGCCTCCAAGGGAGGGTGTTTTGATATTTTCATGTATTTGGGTTAAACTTCTTCAGTTTTCCTCTTCCCCAGCGGGAAGCGGAGCGTGGAGCGGAGCGAAGCAGAGCGGGGAGCAGCGGGAAGCGGATCGAGGAGCAGCGGGGAGCGGAGCGGAGCAGCGCGCGGATCGCGGCCCCGGTGCGTGCGCTCGCGCTCGCGCTCGCGTGGGGAGCGCGGTCCCTGCGCGGAGCGGCCCCGTCGCGGCTCCGGGCTCCGGCTCTGCCCCCGCCGCCGTCCCCCGGGCCGGGCGCATCCCCTGCGGGCACGGGATGGACTAGGGGGGTCTGCGGTCGGGGCAGGTCACGGGGAGGGGAGAGGAGCCCCCCGTGTCACCCAGCCGGAGCGTCACCCACAGAGCCGCTTGCAGCTGCTGTGCCCAGGTCAGCCCTGTCCTGAGCCTCAGTTTCCCCATCAGAGACCCCTGCTTGGGTCAAGGAGAGCGATAGATACCCCCCCTCTCCCCCCAAACACCCTCCATTTACCACCTCCGGGGGTGATTTGCTGCTGCTCGGCCCATTCCAAAATCCAAATTGCAGTCAAATGTGACCTGCTTCCCGGGCGAGTTATTTGCATGCGAGGGCGCCTGGCGCCACCGTCTTGGCCCTCGGCCT